AAAAGCTTTAGAGCCGGGGTATCAAACCTCCGGCCCTCCAGCTGTGGGGTGAAACTACAAATCCCATGATGCATCTCTCTCCGGGAGTCGTGGCTGTGAGAATCTTGCAATGCCTCATGGGATTTGTAGTTCTACCCACAGCTTTAGGGCCGGAGGTTTGCTACCCATGCCTTAGAGAGAATCTCTATACCTTCCCCACTCTATGAAGAGGCATTCATGGCTCTCCCGGGTCCCCGTTGTGGAAATTTCTTTACTTCCTGTGTGCCTGACGGGTGTTTTTCGGCGCAGGAAGTGAGGACAGATTCCTTAGCGGGTACACAGACCACTATGAAAGCCTTCACGAGACTAAAAAAAAAGTTGGGCTTTGAAACCAAACTGGACTCGACGTCATAAGGCAGGACAGTGAAATGATCAATTGTGTAATCAAATCAATACTCCATCTAATTCCATTCTGCTGCCAATGGCCATCGAACGATCAATTATTCCCAATCAATGAAGCTTTGATTATTCCCCATGAGGGCGGTTGTAGATAGGGCTCTATTGATGGAGCGGTCTGACAGCATTCCATGTGACCCATGGCGAAAGGTAGGCCAACGGTCGGGCACAGTGCCATAAAGATGGCGTATGTATGCCCATGGCAGCCCCATGGCCACCACCCAACCCAAGTGGCTTTAATGAAGAACACCGGGCATATAAAACCTTAACCCTTGCAGTGGGGCTACCACCACTTGGTGACGAGGGAGCATGGAGCAGGCTTCGCCGGCCGTGTAATGAGTCACCGGCCAACTTCCTGATGGGCTGGCCAATGAGGAACCAGGGAGCATGGAGCCGGCCAAACCTCCTGATGGTCAGGAAGCTGGCCAGTTAGGAACAAGGGAGCATGGAGACGGCTTCCCGGCCCTGTAATGAGTCACCGGGCAACTTCCTGATGGGCTGGGAAGCTGGCCAATTGGGAACCAGGGAGCATGGAGCCGGCCAAACCTCCTGATGGTCAGGAAGCTGGCCAGTTAGGAACAAGGGAGCATGGAGACGACTTCCTGGTTAATCAGGAAGCTGGGTGGCAAGTCATTTTCCCTTCCCTCTAGCTTCCAGATTGGTCAGAAAGCCGGCCAATCGGGAAGCCGTGTAATGACTCGCCGGCCAACTTCCTCATGGGTTGGGAAGCTGGCCAATCTGGAACGAGGGAGCATGGAGCCGGCCAATCGGGAAGCCGTGTAATGACTCGCCGGCCAACTTCCTCATGGGTTGGGAAGCTGGCCAATCTGGAACGAGGGAGCATGTAAAAGGCTTCCTGGTTAATCAGGAAGCTGGGCGGCAAGTCATTTTCCCTTACCTCTAGCTTCCTGATTGGCTCCATGCTTCCTCGTCACCTGGTGACGCCTTCCCGGCTATTCGGTAAGCCGGGCGGCGAGTCATTACATGCCGCCCGGCTTCCTTAATGGGACATTCGGTATCGTCGAGTGCTGAAAAATAAAAAATTTCGGTGCCCGCATATAATGTTTCTTATACAGAAGGGTGTCATAGACTGAAGACTTGTAGGAGGAAATGGTCAGAGACTGTTCTACAGGAGAGGTTGGAGACTGGCGTCATGCTGTAGGACACGGGTAGGCCCCCATCATGCGTCTGTCTCTGGGGGGGGTCATACCTGTGGCTGTCAGAGTCTTGCCATGCCTCATGGGATATGTAGTCCCCCCCCAGCTGCTGGAGTTTGCCTACCCCGGCTGTAGAAGATAGTCAGAGACTGGGGGCATGGTACATGAAACTGCTAGAGATCCCTGCTATTAAAGGCCCTTGTACAAACCATCGCTCCCTACTGCTAACTGCAAGGGCCTGG